CGTGTCGTTGATTGTGAATACAAATGAGATATTAATGAGCCGTTATCGTCCAATTAATGATATGACAGAAGGATGATGAATTAATGAGAAGGTAATTGTAGAAAGATGACTTAGGCATGATCTCATTTATTTGCCATTTTATGATCATTATTACAGAGGATAGAAAAATTAGCTATTAATGATCAGGTCAGAAAGAATGGGGAAAAAAAGGGTAATAAAATGATCATCAATAGTGCTCATTTCAAAGTCCTTTGTATGACATGAGCTTAGCATGTTTTATGTGTAAGTACTTATTCGATTTCTAGGCGATTTTATATCATTTTTGAGTTATTATGAAATGATCATAAGTGGACCGTTAATGGCCCTCCAAAAACCAGATAATTCACTTCAGTTTTTATGCATATGAAAAGTACGTCCCAGTTGTCATGCTCAGAGATACAGGCTCATATATATATATATATCAAAAATCTTAGAATTAGCTTTATTATTTAACTTACCATAAAATTCGGAAAAGGAAAATTAAGCCAAAAAGCCTATTTTATTTCTGCTTTTAGGCGCCATTGTTCGGGGATTACTGACACAGTATTTTGGCGCCTAAACAGTGCACTTAAAATTAAAAAAGCGACTCATTTTTGTGGAACTTTTTCTAGTACATATTATAGCTGATATCAAGGCCCTTTAGAATATAAATTCAGAGTCTTCTGAACAGAAGCCATTTCTCTGATATCAGTGTTTTTCAAAAAATCGATCTTACTTAGTGATCTAACCGCAGTGGCCGAAAAACATGCTTCCTTTCGTGTTTTCATGTCGATTTTTTGCAGCCGGTTTTCCCAATCTTTAATATATTGCAAAAGAATCTCATTTAATTGTTACTCATTCAAAATAAATTTGAGCTGGATACGTAAAAATCCACTCCGACTACACTAGAGACTTGAATTAATGCAGTATATGTACACTTGTTCAAGTCGCTAGTGTAGTCGTAGCGCACTTTTAACGTATCGAACTCAAATTTTGTTTTGAATGAGTAATAATTAAATAAGATTCTTTTACAATAACCTACGATGCGAAAGTAACTGGAGCAATGTCTCTCCACTTTTCTTGTGGTAAAGCACGTTCCGAGAATATCAAAAATAGTTATTTTGAATGTATACTTCGGGAGTTTTTCTAATTATATGTTCAGAAAAATTCTATCGCTTTAAGTCTTCTCGTAGTGAGCGAATCTTTGTTATCATCAAAAATTTAGGCTGTAATGTTAAAAATTTTGTATATTTTTGCATTTGACAATAATCACTACAAATTGAAAGGTTAAAGTTTGGTTTACTTACTAGTTTATAAAGCAGAATTTTCTCTGCCAACTCGACGATCTTAGATTATCCTACATCGTCAATAAATGAATGTTTTATTTTGGATAGTTTTCCATTAGTGTAGTGCCTGTCTATGACAATGCAACACAATTATATTTATTAGAATTTGTAGAAATGATGAGAAACGTCAAACGTAGTTAATATGTTACCGTGTCATTTTAGCGTTACCAACCCAAGACACGATTGCAGAGGCAATTTTTCGAAATTATATTTGAGATCTTTCTTTAGCGAGTTATAGCGTTTCTAAAACTGAAAAACTTGATTTTTCAGTATTTTTTCTTTAACTCGACCAGGAAAGGTCTTAAAAGAATTTCCCCCAAAAATACCTCTGCGATATAACCTTGAGTACTCGATCGGATTTTTTAAATTTTTAGCCCGATCGGATGAAATTTAAAGCGAATTGTAATGTGGTCCAATGAAAAAACCGAGCTTTCTTCAGATTTTTCTTCATCATTGCTAAGAACAATGGCAATACGAACCAGTAAACAATAATCAAGAGAGCTGAGCGAAAATCAATATCAAGAATATTCTAATGAAAAGTGAATAAAGTGTATTCTGTTGTAGTTTTTCTGACTTTTCTGACTCTTATCACCTTTGTAAAGATTATTAACAGAGCCTTCGCCAGAAAACAGACATACGTATCGTGAGATTATCCGGAGGAAAATTTTATTTTATTTTTATTTATGTCTTATTCGAAAGAGCATACAAAATAACCACTAACGTTGCAATAACTCTTTCTGAAAGCGCTTTTTTAAAACACTCTTGTTACCAAAAAACGTTATCTTTGGTGTTAAAAATATGCCTTACCCACATATTTGTTAAAAACTAAATAAAGACGCATTTCGACCTACCTCCCCCTCCCTACCCCCATAATAGAAGACCATTTGGTCTTCTATTATGGGAGGGAGGTTATATTTTTTGATTTTGTGCCCCATTCGCTGTTTTTGCCTTGCCTTTAAAGCCCTCCGCAGCTATGTATTTTAATGTTTCCAGAAAGTCACGGCTAGGTCGAAAAACCCGCTTGCCTGCTGAACCATCACAGACAAGTCGGCGAGCGTCACTCAAGTCAAATTTATCTGCGTTTAAACTATAACGTATTCAACTATAATGATCCTAATCAACACGAGTCAAATGCAATGCATTAGCGCAAAATCGACTTTTTATACGGAGGATAGAATCGGTTCAAATTTTTTTTCTGAAGAGCTTATGAATCGATGGTCAGCAAAGTATCTCATGATTCAAATCACATTTCATTTTGGCGTGAATAATAGCGCATTTTGAATGGCGCCACTATTCACGCCAAAATGAAAAGTGATTTGAATCATGAGATACTTTGCTGACCATCGATTCATAGAATAAGCTCTTCAGAAAAAAAATTGACGCAACTAAATAAAGACGCATTTCGACCTACCTCCCCCTCCCTACCCCCATAATAGAAGACCATCTGGTCTTCTATTATGGGAGGGAGGTTATATTTTTTGATTTTGTACCCCACTGGCTGTTTTTGCCTTGCCTTTAAAGCCCTCCGCAGCTATGTATCTCATTTTTTCAAATCAAATCTTTATCATTCTTGTTCTTTAAATTCAGACAACTTCTCTCCTTCTTCTCGCTCTCTCTCACATTTATAAAGAGAGAATTCTTCAAATTCAAACCACTTCTTCTTCTCTCATATACATGGAGCATCACAAGAGGTACCCCCCTTAAGTTGAAACCAGTCTGACTTTTGGTGTGGTGATAGGACAATAAATCAACTTCATGAAATCGTCCATAAAATTAATGAGAGTTTAGATGAATGTGGTTTTATACATGGTGTTGTCTTTGGACATTCGAATTAAGGAAGAATAATGAAGAAATAATAACTAGTTTCTTTCAAATGGTCTGATTAGTAAAGGAGGTATTAAACAGTGTACAGAGGAGGCTTTGGCAACGAGCAAAAGCGATTGTTTTTAATCTGTGAATCAAAATACCTAAGAAATAAAAACATACGGGGACGAAACGAACACTATCCTACTCAGGATGTGAGACTATTGATATGGGCTTATACCTCTTAATGCTGAAAGTCAACTGGCGTGCTCTTCTCGTTAAATGAACAATAATCGCTTTTCTCCACAATATAATCGCCTATTGTCTTTTTAGAATAGATACCTATTAGACAATAAATGATTCATTCCTAAACAGAGCACTAGGACTTTTCTTTTCTTAAAAAAGCCATTCAAGCGTTCTAGCAGAAAGATCCAATGAATGGTTTGAAATCGATCGTCCTTCTGAAAGTCTGAAGTATATGCTATTTAGTTGTCCAGTGCAACCTGAAAAAGCAGGAAAAATTCTAGCGGTACTTCACGAACGGCAAAGCAACGACTAGAATTCTAGAATTATGAACTTTACATACATGTAAAGTTGCTTATTCACACTCATCCTTACCCTCACCCCCACATTCACCCCTAGAATTCAGAATTTTAGAAAATTCTGAACAAGTAAAGTTCAACTTTACATACACGTAAAGTTCATAATTCTAGAATTCTTAATTCTGCATATAATAGCAATTTTTGAACTTTACATTTTGTAATTGTAATCGCGCACGTCTGATTCCAGGCCACTCTGTATAGTTGTCATCCTCAATCAAATAGTGCTAGTGTAAGTGTGGAGTCATCACTTATATCCCAATCAGGATAAAATCCCGATCGGGCCGATTTTTGATTGAATTTTTATCTAGTTTATTTGGTTAAGCAGAGGCCAGAAAAATGAATGATTGATTATATAGACTGATCGGGCTATAAAATTATCCCTATCAGGATTACCAATTAGCACTCCCGGGAGTGCCAATAAACTCATCCATGATTTTTTCGGGTACGCACCTATAATAAATTTGGACGAAAAAAACTAAAGAGAACAAACAGTACGTACAGAACAACAACATATAATAAAAAAGGAAATGTGACGAAAAGTTCACTGTGTACTGGTATATGTGTGTGCTGGGTGTGTGTTTTTGAATAAAAGAGAAAGAATAAAATGACGAAACAAAGGAAGAAAATATTAATATTTGTGACCAATTTAACAGATAGTTCACCAGGATTGTCTTAACTTTAATTTATTCATTAGCGTCTGCCAATTGTTTGTATCGGTATACTAGAGATTTTCGTGTTTAGCAGTACTTTAGTGGCTTTAGTAACAATAACTTTTAATGTTCAACATCATTTCTCATACAGCACCAACAAAAACAACCGAAAATTACGGTAATGAAAAGAATATAGTAGATGCTATAAATTCCAACTGCAAATTGAAAAAATGTTCGATCGCAGTAACTGTCAATATCGGTCGAGTTTGTAAATTGTATAATACCATCAATATACATCCTAAAAACCCTTGTACTTTGCTAAGAAATGAAGTAAAACTATCACTACTACTTTCGTTAACAAGTTACATCAGTTATCAGATAATACTATGAAGCGTAACTTACAACTAAAACGAACACAACGGAGCCTCCAATTCCGGCAAATACGATTATTAAATAGCACAAACTACAAAAATGATTTATTGGATTTTTGTACCACAGCTTTGCACCGACAAACTGAAAAAACAAAAGATCAAATCATTAAGCACATACTTTCACCTGAGCGACCTTCTCTCGCAACACAACTAGCTAGTACGTGCCAGTACTGTTGGAACAATTGCGCATATCTCCATTGATGCCGTAACTGTCATGTAAAGGGGTTGAGTATGATCAATCGTACATTGATTAATATAAGTTCTACCATAATAAAATTTTGTCCCTGGTATCGTCAATAATATAACGGCAATTATAAATATAATAGGTATTTGACAAAAAATTTTATCTAATGTTAATTTTAAGGCTATGACAACCGTGGAAGTTGATTGTTTATATGGATTTGTTTGCATGGTTTGACGCACTGAACCATTTAACTAGAAACAACGGGAAAGTCACATTACAAAAAAAAGTGTTGTGTAAAATATCTACCTGTGTTGGAGTCATCTTGTAGTCAGTTGCTATAGATTTGATTGATACCTATCATACTCCGCAAAACGGGTGAGGTATTAACTATTTCCGGAATCTGAAACAGACATCACCACATGACTCAACATGGTCAGTTACGCCTATCTTGACCCGTTCTAGGGTGATCCAAGGCCAATCGGCCGAAATAGGGGCTCTCGCGAAAATGCTTGTAATTCCTGAACGGAACAAGCTAGCGAATTCAGCCTTGTGTAGTTTTGTAGAGAGTAGTATGGCAAATCATACAGATCCAGAATAATCAAAGTTTCTAACTCGCGCGAGGGCAGTGTTTCACAGACCTGCTGGAAATCCCTTAACGATCTTGGCAAACCCGATGATTACTAAATCCCTGGGTTCTCCCAGATAGCATCAATTCGACGGCGAAGATCCGAACTCGCTAGTCAGTAACGCTCCTAAGTTATTCAACCAAGTTCATTCTTTTTTGAAATGGACCGTAGTAAGTAATAGTTTTGTTACTTATTACTTTAACAGTGTGGTAATGAGTCACGCCTACGTACAATGAAGATTCGCCGTAGGGTATGCGCTACTGATTATCGTAAATCGCTGTGCATTACGTAAACAAATGATTCATAGTTGACATCAATCGATTCAGGTTTTTAATATATTGAAAGATAGTTGCCATTTAGCTCACAAACTTATACCTGGAAATTGTACTTTAGGCTGTATAATTAGATCACATAATACAAAATTTTTCAAAGGTCTGTTGCTAGACGTAAACATGTAATTTTAACAAATTTTGTCTTATGAATAAGGTAGACGCAATGCAGAGTATTACTAATGGCACAACTTTATTTCGCAGAACAGAATAGTTGTCATGGTTGTCTTATAAAAAATTTTCCAAGTGGTAGTTGCACTACTTGAAGCCGGAACTGAAATAAAGATTTGTACTGAGTGTAAGTTCCCAATTGATGCTTTTGTGTCAAATATACGATAGCATTCACATATATTTAAGTTAACTATTGACAATAGAATAAGGCTGGTAATTGGTATCATTTGTTTTTCAAAAGTCGAGCCACGATGAAATAATACTTTTCTTGGGCACCGAAACATTTTTAAGTATCATACGCCAATAATTGTCTCTGTCACGTTGAACGCATTCAACTCTAAATAGAGTAAAAGGTAACACTAATACTTCTAGTTCTTCTGGATATCGGGATATGGTGGGTAATTTATCTGCTATACAATTTAGGTTAATTGCCGTATAACAATGAATCGGAAAAATTAATTGCATCAATACTTTATGTCTCCTATCACTCGGCGTAACAAAATGTCGTGCCACTTCTTCGCTTAATGATGTTGATGACAATACCTTGATTTCAATAATGCCATTATTCTCTTGTGCCCAATGATAGATATTTAAATCTTCATCGTTCATCGTAACGCCACGAAACGTTACGCCTTGAAAAGCTCCTAGTTTCAGCTCTTTGAGATGTAGATAAACCAAAGCAGTGAGCGTTGTTGGATCGTCGTGCAGTAACTCTGGTAAACATGAGTTCAATGTGTATAATTGAAGAAGTTTTTCAATTTTTTTCTCCTTGAAGAATTCATCCAGAAACTTATGTACTAGTACCGACTTCAGCTTTACCTTGGTCTCAACTAGATTGATGAACTGTTCCGCAAAACGTTTTTCCATGATTATCTGAACTAACTTCCTCGTAGGATAATTTGATTGATATAAAGCTGTTAGAAGCTGTGATTCAATAGTGTCTGTTACAGTGCGATGTCCATTAGCATAATTATTTAGAGGAATATCGTCATCATTAGAAGATTTGTTAAAAAATTTAATTTCAGCCGCTTGTTTAATATCTGCTTCGATGAAACGGTTGCTGCTGTGCAATCGCCTATGAAATAGTTTCTTTATATCTTCATTCGATGCAACCTCATACGGTGTTTTCATTTCTTTATTGGCAATTATTGCATCAGCACCAAAATCAAGCAACAGTTTCACGATATTAGCATGCCCGTTCGCAGCTGCCGCATGTAATCCTGTATCACCAGTAGTTTTATTTTTTTTATCTATCTGTTCATAAGGTATGAAGTTCAGTATTTCATTAACTAATATTACATCACCATTTTCGCATGCCGAATAAAAATCATTAATTTTGACAGATGAATGAATGTTACCCATCAGCAAGTAAAGCAATTATCAACTCAGTCAGAAAAAACTGAAAAAAATCAAATATACTATCTTTAATTGAATAATGGTCAATAGATTAAGGTTAAAACTAATTATGAAGGCAACTCATGGTATATTCAATCGGTTCTGTATTATTCTTCATTTCCGAACTTTTGACTATTAACGATAATGAGAACAACTAAGAACAGGCGTGTTGCATAAAGAACGGAAACGACTGGTCAATTAAGTTTGGGGGAATGAGGGTTTGGAAGAATGTTCGTTTCATGAGGTATATCAAAACACTTATCTCTCTGACGCTAGTAGGGGTTTTAGAGAAAACTGGGGAATTTGCTTCACCTGATTACAAATAAATTTTATTTTAGAGAAAACCTGCAAAGATATAATCATTTTAGTCAAATAATAGCATTTAAAACACTTCAAGGATCATTTTGGAAAATGAAATTTTGAAATTCCATCTTTCATTGAATTGATATTTAAATTAAAACTTTAAAATTAAAAAATTCAATTGTTTAAACTTGAAATAACTTATATGATACAAGACCTACCGTTTTCCTCATCTTTTCGGTGTTGAAATGACTATTTCAAAATCAGAGGTTTCGTCTTTATTCTATTCAGTCAACTGATATACAAAAAGTAACGTAGATAAGGGCAATTTTACTCTTGCTGTATTTCTTGATTACTCAAAAGCGTTTGATAAGCTCTGGCACGCCGCTTTACTTTACAAATTAAAGAAAAAGGGAGTGTCAGATGAATTACTGGAGTGGTTCTCGAGCTACTTAAGTAATCGACAATGTGTCACAGTTGTCAACGGTCAAACATCCGTTCCACTGCCGATAAATAGAGGAGTACCCCAGGGGTCCATTCTTGGACCGCTGCTATTCCTTCTGCTTATTGATGACATTTCTTTGCAAACACAATCTAAAATACGGTTATTTGCCGATGATACGTCGCTATACCACAGTGGTAACGATATTTTAAGTGCAACTAACATCATTAATTCTGACTTAGAAAACATAAACAAATGGTCAAAATTTTGGCAATTACCTCTAAACGCAAAAAAATGTGTAGGGATGTTATTTGGTCGAGTAGCAATTGTCCCTTCTCTTTTCCTTGATAGCTCTCTCCTTAGTTTTGTTGATCATCACAAACATCTCGGTGTTTTTCTCACGAGTTCGTTAGACTGGTCAATTCACGTTCGTTATGTATTAAAAAAATGCAATTACACTCTTTACCTTATGCGTAGACATAAACATATTTTGAGTACGTCCACTCTCGATCAGATATTTAAATCATACATTCTGCCAGTAGTCACTTATGGTGACATTGTTTACTCTCTTCTCAAACAAATTCATTCTAAAACTGCCTTCATTGATACAATTTCGTCATATCTAAGACCTATTTATGACTTGCAATATTTAGCATCTCTGACTGTTAGTGAGCAATGCATTTATCATCAAGAGTAAAAGTGTTTAAAATTTTAGGTTGGATTCCGTTAGAACACATCTATGCAAGTAACAAAATAATTCTTTTCTTCAAAATAAAAAACGGTCTCACACCCACTTTTCTCTCTACGCGTATTCCTAAACAACCAATTGTTACTACATCTTTACGCTCAAGAGAGAGAGGTCAAGTAACCGTATTTCGTACTCGCACAGAAAAATTCAAAAACACTTTTTTTCCTTGGGTCGTGAGACAATGGAATATATTGCCTGTCGAACTGCAAAACATAATAAAATTAAAAAAATTTCGAATAAAAATTTATGATTTCTTTTTTCCAAACTACAAGTGGCCACGTTTTAAACTCAGTGAGCGTAAATATGATTGCATTCTAAATCAAATGAGAGTCAACTTCTCTCGACTAAATTATGATCTTTTTCAAAAACATTTGAGTACTAGTCGCTTTTGCGCTTGTGGAAAAATAGAGTCAGTCAAACATTTTCTGTTGGAATGTCCACGTTATCAGCATCAACGACAAATACTTATTTCTGACTGGTCATCTCTAGCTCCTACTATCTCCTTTACGCCTGCAAATGTACTATTTCTAGAAAAATTTGATAATCTAGATAATTCACAAATCTGTCAGCTACATTTCTTTATTACTAACTATATAAAAAATACTGAACGTTTTTGAATCCCAAACAATCTCTTAATCTGTCTCCATTATGCCATATTTACCCTTCTCCTCTTCAGTTCTCGTTCTTTT